AATATAGCTGCCTGTTGCTGTTTCAAGTGAAAAAATAACACATTTAGTTAGTTAGAGTTAGTAAATATGTTGTCTACAACTGGCATTGTAAGATGTTTATACTACTGTACTAGGAAATAATAATGGATCTAAATTCGTTGTATAACGTTTATAGACGGTAGAATACTAAAGCTTGTGTTGAATGTATTGTTACAGTAAAGTTTTCATTTGTATTATAACATAATCATGCTACGTAACATGTCACAACAGTAAACAATGAAACAGATAAAGTAAAAAATATATATAAACAGCATAATGTTAGCAACATTATGTTTCCTTAAGAACTAGGGAAAGTTGTGTTATTTAGTATATCTAAAACTATGACAGTTTTTTTAGAAAAATATACAAAATGCATCAATTTTATTAATTTAAATCACTGTAATAGAATCACGTTACCATGAAAGATAGAGATCCACCAAATTGCATAATCTGTCCATAGACACTTTTACATACAAATTAGTCTATATGACATTAAACAAGAAAACCATATGGGCCACTGACACGAATCTGAGCACGCATACTCTGTACGCTGTTCATAATTTTCTTCTGATGCCCCACAAGAGTGACACCCAGAGAAGACAACTGCTGCACTGTAAGGTCAACTACTGCATCCATGTCTGTAATACCAGCCGCCCTAAATTTCTCTATGTATCGAGACATTTTTATGCACTCCAACCATTCTTCTACAGAAGAAAACTGAATTAAATCAGGTGTATCCCCAGCAAGGGGATCGGCAGATCGATTTTGGGCAATCTTCCGCAAAGTATCGGGACAACGAATTAGCTTGTCTAAAGTTTTAACAATGCTGGCAAACGTAGGTCTGTGAGTTCGTTCTTTTTGCCAGCAATCCAACATCAGTTGATAGACTGCCTCAGGGCAGTCCATAGGTGCTGGAAGACGATAGCCTTTTTCAATTGATTTAATCACATCTTGGTTACTCCAGTTCCAGTAAGGACGCTCTCCAAAGCTCATCACCTCCCAACATACAATACCCATTGACCAGACATCACTTGCAGAAGTGAATTTTCTGAAAGCAATAGCTTCGGGTGCTGTCCATCTTACTGGTATTTTGCCGCCCCGTGTTGTATAAGCACCATCTGCTGTAGATTCAATTTCACGAGATAAACCAAAGTCAGCAATTTTACAAACCAGTTGAGAATTAACAAGAACATTACGAGCAGCAAGATCTCTATGTATGTAATTCATCTCTGATAGATATTGCATGCCTGTAGCGATACCACGTAACATCCCTACTAATTGTAAAACACGAAATTTACCATCATTGGCACGTAAAAATGTATCAAGGGATCCATTTTCCATGAACTCTGTTATAATCATTATTGGATTACATTTTGTCACTACTCCTTGCAAAAATATTACATTTGGATGTTCAAATTGTCCCATGATGGATGCCTCAGCCAGGAAATCTCTTCTAGCTCTCTCAGTTGATCCAGGTTTCAAAGTTTTAATGGCAACATCAATTTCTTGTCCACAGCTTGCTGGTAACTTAAGCTTGCCACGGCAAACATCTCCGAATTCTCCCCCACCTATAATGGCCTCTATAGTAATGCAAGATGCATCAATTTCTCTAGCAAATTCTCTAACAGCTTGATTAGGATCTTCATATGTATGAGGATCAATATAAGTTCTGGAACCAGTACCTGCAAACAATGGTGTGGTAGCATTGCTACTTGTCTTTGTAGGTCGTTCTGGGCCAGTGTACACTTCTCCATTTCTATAATTCAAAGCATTACAGTCACTTGGTTGTTTCTTGTCACATTCATCATCACCTCTTGAACGCAAAAAGAGAACAGTAGCTATTATAGCAACTACTGAGAGAACAACCACTATAACCATGACTCCAGCAACCAATCTTACTTGGGCACCTTCTTCTTCACCTACAAAGGATGTTTCTAAAACAGATCCAGTTCGGGCATAGACAATGGAACTAAACTCTCCCCAACCACGTTTCATTTTAGCTCTCACTCTTATCCCATATTCAGTGTCTCTTTTCAGACCGGCTAATGTAATGTGTGGCTCTTTTGTTGTCTTTATTGTTGAATTTGGGCCCTTTTCCAAATTATCTTTGGGGAAACATTTTACTTCATAAGTCTCAATTGTGTCTTCCGGGTCTGTTAAATCAACTGGAGGTGGATTCCATGCTAATGACAACTTGTCACTTTCAACACTTAAAATTCTTAATTTGGAGACAACACTTACCACAGAGGCTTCAGTTACAGCTGTTATCTCCACTTTTTTAGGTGCCTCGCCTGTTATTTCTGAAACACCATTTACAGCAAATACTTGAAATTTATATTCAGTTACTGGGTCCAGACCCATAATGGTAACTCTGGAAGAATTCAAGCCGCTGGAGGCTGGTCTGTACTCAACACTTGGGCCACAGTTCGAACAGTGGACATTGTATGTGACATCACTGCGACCACCATTTTTGTGAGGTGGTTGCCATGCCAAAGATATTGAAAATTGGTCAGCAAAAGTTACAGTCAGATTATCCGGTGCCGATGGTGGTTGGGTACATGGCACAGTTTTGGCGTCCTTTTTAGATCTGTAATAACCAGGAATACATTTACACTCAGAAGCTGCGTAAGCTGCTGATTCAGAATAATCAGGGCAAGATATACAAGGATCATCTCCCGTATGGGATTTAAATTTTCCTGGTGAGCATTCATTGCACTGTTGATTGTTATGATCAGGTTCAAAGCCCGCTCTGCATTTACATGATCCACTAGGCAAAGTCCATTTACCATCGCCCTTGCATAAGTAAACAGGAGGTGTCTCACCCTGAGCTGTCTCTGCATTTTCCACACAGGTTCCATTGGCTTGTTCTATGACAGTTACTTCCCTGCCTGTTGGAGTGGCAGGAAATCTAGCAAAGTTGACTGTTATCTCCGGACATGTAATATAATATACTTTTACTGCCAAAATAGAAATGCATGCACCTTGATCTCTAAATGCAAAATAAACTCCTCTTTTTGTCACAGCAATACTCTTCACCTCTGTGTTTATATCAACTTCCGAATTTGTATTGAATCTACCTTCTCCAGCAGCAATTCGGCCTACTAATTTATAGCTTTCTGGTTCCCAAGGAGGCTGTTCACGGGTTGCCACATCAAATTCATAATACAATAGACTAAATGTTTCCTTGCAACTCAAAGCATTTCCAGGGAATAGAGAGCAGTCCCTTATAGTGAACTTTATCTCAATATATATTCTGTTGGCATTTCTGCGCTCAATAAACGGTGTCCACAGCCAATTGTTAACATTATGATGAGCGACGTCGCAGACCACATAGGATCGCCAGTTAATTTGTTTTTCGAAATTGGTATAAGACTCTTCTACCCACCCAGGAGTGTTTGCTTGCAGGCCATAGGGAAACCGCATCCAGCTAAGAGTATCCTCAGTTGTAGTATCGAGAAGCATGACTTGCTCCCCGCTCACGCCGGCAGCGGCCACCACAACGGCCACTACCGCTGCACAAAACCACATCATCTCGACCACATAATAATACTAAAATTTCCGAAAACAACACTTAAAACACGATATATTAACGAAAGTCAGCACACTCTCACTACATAATGTTAAAACAATGTGTATTTAAAAGTTTTTTTCTATTTCGAACACTTCACTTTGTCGGGGATAAAGGACGACCCCATCATTTCTCTCTGCTGCATTAAAACTCGGTAATCGCAATGAAACGTATACGTCTTTCTTGTTTTGGTGGTAATCCGCATATGAACTGATGTATCTTATTTTAATTTTGTAGCTCAAATGGAATGCTTTATTAACACAAATTTATGTAAAAATTCGCATTTTAAATATATATTGATCCCGTGTTACATAGATGAAAACTCAGTTCCTTGACATGGACGCGCAGCAATTTCTTGTGTTGCCACACGAAAAAATATTGCCAACCAAATATTTAATAACATTTGAAAATAACATATGAAAATATTTAACAATCGTAAAGACTAATTGTATGTTGAAATAGTTCTTCTTCAATTATACGAAATAATCCATGAGATTAAATTCAACAAAATCTGCAATACAGTACAGGAAATGCCTAAGTAAGGTGGCTCAAACAGCTTATAATTATATACCCGGTCAGGCCGGTTACAGGAAAGAGCGGAGCTGGGCGACCGTCAAGGGCGGTGGGAAGAGTGCCACAGACATGACCTAAGACATTTTATCAATTCATAAGACGTATCAATCATCACAAAAGTGAAATACCACGACTACAATCAAGTCCCTTTAAGCTAAAGTAGCGTAATCTAAGTTTCATTTAAAGATTGCACCTACAGAGGTCCAAGGTTTTTTTTGCCTTTTGTCGTTCCCATCTCTTCGCTATCGGGGAAAGGGATTGGGGTGAGAACAAGCGTATGACAGGGGAAGAAATATATAAGGAGTAATAGCATAAAGAAGGAAAGGGGTCGCAGTAGTATTTTATTAAAAGTAGCATCAAAACAAAGAGATTTTAGAATTTAGAAGCAACCCATCATAATGGGTAACAGTAAGTCCATCATCATGATGTTTTTCTTACTGTTTTAGACTGAACCTACAACTAACAAAGCTTTAAAAAGAATGTTTGGTATTCATAACATTCTACCACAATGTTCCATCGATAACTACCCTTAATCTAATCTTATTCTTAAATGTACGCAGTTCATTTCCGTAATATTTGCTTGGGGCAGATATTTATGGGTATCAGGTGAACCTTATGTGTACAACCCGATGAAACTTAAGTATTTGTACACAAGGCAAAACCAAAACATCAATGAGCTAAATGCTTCGGTCAAGAAAGAAAATAAAAAATACAAACATTTTTACTACTCTATTTATTATGTTTTAATACTACAAACTGAAGAAATTGAAAAACATACATTTTGTCAACTGAATTGTAATATTTTGGTATACACAAAACTTACATTTTGTTTATATTAGTGTTAAAGCATGCCATATAACTTACAGTAACACAATTTTTTTTTTATTTAAAGAATGTAGTTTTATTCATAAAACAAACGCCAGAACACAATTATACTTGAAATTAACAGAACACTCTAAAAATAAATTACCATTTGTAGTTACTAATGTTAACCATTCAAAATCTGATTAGAAAATCAGGACATCGAGTCCTCTCCAGTCTCTAGAGTCCAGTATTTCAGTTTGTAGAGGTTGCTCCCCCTTCCTTGATTGCAAGTAATGTGGAGGAATTTCTGGAGTACTTCGGCAAGCTGGGTTGGCATGATCAATTCATGTTCTACTCTGACACACCATATGCACCAGTCATGGAGATGCTGAAACTGTAGATCCTACTACTACTATGGTTCAACACTACTCTTCTGTGGGACTTAATCCTTTAAACTGATAAATAGGTACATATCAATACATTTATTTACAACAAATCAAAAAAACTTTAACAAACCAAACTATTTGTTAGGAATAGAAATATGTAAGCACAATAGAATCATACAATATTATACATACTTAAGTGAGTCATGCAAATTAATATATCATTATTTTTTTTTCTTAATACTCTAGAACACAATATCAAATTAAACTTTTTGACTAAAAGCTTAGGTATATGCACCTAAAATTAATATTACATTTGCTAATATTAGGATAATTTAATATGCATCTAAGTAACCTAAGGTAACTAACTTGAGATGATAAGAACATGATTTTTCTAGAAGACATTTAACTTATTTTTAGAAATAGCCAAACGTAGGTCTATTAAGTTTGGAAATATATGTTCTTTGGGAATACATTCTTCATAGTTTTTGTTTTTAGATATGAGCAGTGCATTCCATCCAGCAGCCTTGGCTGCTTTGTAATCTTTTTCAAGATCATCTCCTATATGTAGACAGTTTTTAGGCTGCAAGTTTTTGGGCTTGCCTGGTATATTTTGCATTAACACATGATTGAAAATTTTTGGGTCTGGTTTGGCATAACCAACATCAAATGAGGTATAAATAAAATCTAATTTGTAATCAATTCTAACATTGCGTAAAATCTCAACAAGACGTGGATCAAAATTAGAAATCACACCCAGGAATGCTCCATAATTTCTTAAGTAGTTAAGCACCTCATGACTGCCGTCTCTTAAATACCAGCATTTTGTTGTTTTGTAATCATTTATTAGTTGATTTGCCAGGCCCTCAATATTGGCATTACTTGGCAGTTGTCCATCAAATGTCTTCTTTACTACTTGCCTCCACCAATCTTCCCAGTTCATTTGGTTTTTACCAAAATTGGGATATTTATTCCACATAAATTTGTAGTTATCCAGTAAACGTAATTTAAGATCTTCATCAGATCCTTCAAATCCATAGTCTCGACCCAAAATCGTGTAATATTCCCAAGGCTGTACTTTAAACTTAAGAAGTGTATTAGTAGCATCGAAAGTAACTAGGCGGATACACCTCAAAGACATTTTTATTGATTACGGGTTAAAAGCTTATAGTAAATATTTTCCGCTTACAATACTGTAATAAGCTAATAATAATATGGATTTTTAATTGATCTTATCGTCCTTTGTTACAGGGCTTATTTGTGAAGTTAAAATTTTGGTAGATTTTTTATTTTACTTATAGATTGATCAATATTTTACAGAAAACTAACACGTCATGACTCACTGAATAGGACATTTCGGCTGTAATATCACTATAATTTACCTTACAAACTCAAGTTTTATTCACTGGAAAGACAACGTTGATAAAAATTAAAAATTGATTAAATCTGAATGTCTGAACGAAACAGGCAAAAGCTGCAAGAGAGAACAAAACAGGCAAGCAACACCAACCTAACCAAAGAGTATATTCATATATCGATTGACAGTAGGATATGGTAGGATGTATGATGGATTATTAAAACTGATAATATCATATATTTTTTATATTCCTTGATATAATTTCAGTGGTTTTCTATTATTTATTTATTTTAATTTATATGAGACAGTAGGTGTAAATCCATATAATCTTTTGCTTTTACTAGCGACGACGCAAGTGATGACAAATAAAAAACATGAAATAAATTGTTTTTATCTTAGTTCTCTCAATCAAGTGGCCTTTATAGCATTTATGATCTTCATTCTATATAATTTCAATAAAATACATTTAATTCTGATAGTAAAATATCGCTTTTTTAATTGTAACAGATTAGCTATTTTATTTATATACTCTATGAGTATTTTACTTACGTGTCATATTGAAATAGTCAATTACTCATTATCATTACAATATATAACATTTTTTCATTGCATTGTAACATTTTTTGCAATAAAAGTAGCATTGGCAAAGAGCGATACAAACGATCTGTGAATCCAAAGCAAACCTTATCAATAATCAAGTCCCAAGTCCAAGTTATAATTATATCCTTAGTTGGACTATTGTCGTGGGCAGTTGATCAACAAATTACTATTAATTTGTCTTTCAAAATAATACATCATTAAAATCGAGAACTATGGCGTATGTTACTGGAGGTAAATATGTCCCTACTTGTTTTAAAAATTGTAATATATTTTGTTGGCAGCAAGTCAATCACTAACGTAGTGTGAACTTTGACGTCAAACCCATAACTCAAATATGCATTACGTTTTGCAAAGCCTGTTTGTCGTGTTACGTGTTAGCTATTATTATTATTTGTAATCTAAAATGTTTTCCATATCCTCACCGAATCTCTTCAAAAATAATGAATGTCTGACATAAATTCAAAAATTAATAGTAAGCAGAGTTTTTTTGCCACTAGTATATTTATACTATTTCCTAATTTGAATCACAATTATAGAATATTGTTAGTGATGATGGATACAATAGTTTTTTTTTTTCAGATGGAACTGTTGTTGAGAAAACACCATTCAGTGTTTTTGGATGGTTTTGGGGCCTTATAAATTTCTTCTATCTTCTGTAAGTATTGTTGTTTAAACCCAAATCATATAAATTTTTATTTGTGAATATTGCTACAAATATGTAAGAAACAACTTGTTCAGATTTCAGACTTTGATAAATCCAAACTACAGTAAGCATGGAGACAAGTATGTAACAGACTACCGGCCCCCGGGCAGTGGGTGAGTGTCACATATACTTTATAGTACTGGTTAAAAAGACAAATAGATAGGTAGGTAGGTAGGTACAGGTTGGTCATTTATGCAAGGTTATTTTTGAAAATGTATCAAATATTTTTATGCAAAAGTATGTCATGCAAGGAAATAAAGAATTAAAATAATACAATATGTCCATTACTTGATAAGAAAATGTGTTTAATAGGTATTTTATCAGAAATTAAATTGTAAATGAGGTCAACTTATCTCATAACAGTGAGCTTCACTATCTAACTGAAGTTTATTTTAATATTATCTATTTAAAAAGTTGAACTGTGTGTGGTTATTCTTGAAAATCTGACTGGGATATAAACATAATATTTTTAATTTATGCCTTAATACTACTACTTATTTGCCCAACTTATAACTTACTGAAGTTTGTATTGTATAATTGCAGACCACCAAAGCCTCCTTCAAGAAAGTTTGGCGGCTTCGGCCCCTCTGGCTCGGGCCCCGCCCCCCCGCCGATGGGCGGCTGTGGATGTGGCTAGTATTGCCACTTAATTGCTAACTTCCAATAATTATATGGGCAATAATTACGGTGCTAGGAGCCTTTGCAAATAATAAACTAAATTAAACCATATATATTCACATACCTTGTAACTGATCTTAATATTAATTTATGTATCACCATACATTTATTTTTCTGCTTCAATCAGTTTAGTTAAATTAAAGTATATCATAGAAGACAATACCTTTTCCTATTTTTATTTGGAAGTGGCCCTCCAATGGAACATGCTGACAAACAAGCAGACCCAGGCGGCGCTGCGGCTGCATCTTATAACACTTGTGTAACAACACTGGGGTACCCTTGGCCTTTATTAGAAGTTCTTATGAAATTATAATGTAGCAGACAAATTGTTATTCTAATATAATACAGTATATTTTTATATGATGAATGAAGGAAGGAAAAGAAAAAGTGTATATGTATGGATATTAATATACACATAATTATATTAGTTTTTGGGCAGGTACCTGCATATTGATTGATCTGAAGAATGTAACTGGTATTGAGGTGAGTTGGAAAATTGTATGTGATGATAACATAAGCAATAATAATATATAAAAAATAACTGTCGTTGTCTTGTAAAATGTTTTAAAAGTAGTTTATTAATAAGTTATCTTATTCTACAACAGATAACAAAATGTACTTTTATAAATAAAGACATATATCAAGTAGCCAAAATGAATTATTTAATTTCCCTGAACACTGTTTGCTTCTGCTGTTTGCTGCTGAATGATGTTTACATAAGATGATGATAAATTACTACAATTATGATGAATCCAGATAATTGACTATATTGCGAATGTTCCATAACTTTTGTGTTTTTTTATCAAGCGGGGCAGAGTGGTGGGTTGAAGGATTGTGGAGGAGTTCGCTTGCGTTTCGCACGACATCTATTAACTTTTGATGCGAGTTTTATTTTTATTTTATTATTTGAAGATTTATTACTGAAATTCATATCGTGTGTTGTAAATTTCTTGCGTTTGCCTCGTAATTTGTTTGTTGTAGTTCGGCCTTTGCGATTGCTATTATAAAGTTATGTATGAATAGTGCATGTGCGACAAAATGAAACTTGGAACTTGTAAATTCTCAAGCATATTGCACTGCATCTAATTATTAATAGTTCAGGAGACAGAGCCCACAACAGTTTTGTGAAAATGTTTTTTTGCTCAATAAAGAATTTTTAATTCTTTTTTATTTAAATTAATATACAAATGGGATTTGTACCTAAGAATTGTGTGCGTAAGCTGTGCTCAAGCAAATAATACATAGCAGCCCCACATTTAAAACAATGTACATTAAATGAAAGTTAATCAAAAATAAATCCATAAGATTTCTATACATTTTTATTTCAATTGCAATTGTTGTTTACATTAAGTTAGTCCGCCGACTGCAGAAGCACTTGTTTAATACCAAAATGTTAAAACTTGTATATCTTTAATAAGCATAATAATATTAACAGATTTTTATTATAACGTATTCATTTATTTATCATATTATTAATATAGTACATTTCATATATAAATAATAAATTATACAAAATATATTAAAAGCTGCGGAATCCTATGACTCAAACAACCAGTGGTCAGGGCTGCAGAGACAGGAACCGTCTCACGATGCGCGCAGTTTCTAGGATTACTGCCTTATGTATCGGGCCCTTAATCCTACTGTTTAGTGAGAGCTTCTTGATATGTTGGTCGGAGCTCTTCGCTATCAGTTCATTCACCGATACGACAGATCAGAATAATGGTAGTCGAATTCATACGCCACATGCTGATAACCTCGTGAGCCAAATCTAGGTATTTTAAACAATTTTTCGTTTTCAGCTTTCACGAGATTCTCGTCATGTGGAATAGTGACATCGACTAACATCACAAAACTCTCAGACCGCTCTATTATTACTATATCAGACCTATTGGCAGCAATAGTCCTATCCGTAATAATAGATCGATCTCAGTAGAGCGTGTTATCGCTATTTTCCGGAACGGGTGAAAGTTTGTACTGGTAATACGGTACCTCAGCATCCACAAGGGCATATTTAAGGGCAAGTTGCTGGTGGATGATCATGGCCACTTGGTTGTGTCTATGCAAGTATGCACTGTCCGCCAGCCGAGAACTGCCGGAAACGATAAGTCGAATTATAGCTTTTGTCTTTGCGTTTTGTGGATATTTATAAGGGTATATAGAAATGAAACAGTTATATGAGACAATAATATTTACCGAAATTACTTTTACTTAATTAAATTGAACTTGCTAAAAGTTAAAATAAAACGATGTCACTCGCAGTAATATAACAATATTATGTAGAGGAATTACTTGCCCTAGATGTTTTTGCCCACTCCAGCACTAACTGCAAGTCTCAAGTTATATTGGACGCTCGTCTGTATCTCTGTTTCTATCGCCCTGAATTAAATAAAAATAATAATATGCCAAATTTAAGTTTTGGTAATATTATTTTGCTACTAAAATTAGAATGTGAAGCCAAGCTAGTAGATGCATCAATATTTTGGAATATTTTCGTGTAAGTAACACCAAAAACTAAAAGTATATATTTACCTCAGTATGGGATACTGGCGAGGGAGGGAGATCATTAGTCGACGAGGAAAATTCGAACAAGTGCCCGCTTCAGTGTTGCTGTTGACGCTGGAACCTGCTTTGTGCACCTGCCTCGCTGTGTCATTTGTTTTTTGTTGACGAAGCTCCAACTTTGATACATTTCTTTTGTCTAATTTAAAATACTACTTAAAATTGGACATTTGGATGAAATTTACCCGACCAGGCCCAGGCCAACCCGCGGATGTAGCGCCTACGATAATGATGATCAATGCTTGCATGTATAGATGAATGTTTGTAACATTACATAGAAATACAATGATGTACAGGTGAGCTTAACTCTAAAAGAGTTCTCTTACAGCTAACCTTGCGATACACAGAGGATGTATAGTGGGTAATAACTGTATGGGTACAAGTAAACATAATTATATAAATTGCTACGTATTACTAAACTTAACTACTAGAATCCTAAATTTAATAACTACTAGCTGTCGCCCGCGACTCCGTCCGCGTGGATATATAAAAAACTTCACCCATCCATCCATCCAAATCACATCCATCTCATCAAAAAGCAGCTCTTCAAGGCATAAATTCGAAAAAAAAATGAATAAATAGTATCCTATGTCCGTCTCCTGGCTCTCAGCTACCTCCTCACCAATTTCCAGCCATAACGGTGAAGCCGTTCTTAAGTGTAACTAACACGACTTTCTTTCATATCTCTTATCTTATCTTATATCTTTAAATGAGCAATTCTTGCATATATATATATAATTGGGATCTCGGAATCGGCTCCAACGATTTTTCATAAAATTTAGTATATGGGGGCTTTCGGGGGCGATAAATCGATCTAGCTAGGAATCATTTTTAGAAAATATCATTTTATTCGTGTTTTATCGATAATCAACTTAAATATAAACTTAACTTTTTCTATCGGTAAGATCGAAAAATATTATTCATATTTTATTAGTAATTCGTACTTAAATATAATTTCCAAAAAACAAATACCGAGCAAAGCTCGGTCATCCACGTACTATCGATTAATGCATCAGTTCAAACATATAGGTACATACATACATATATAATAATAAATATAGATACATATCATCATCATCAGCTCACTATACGTCCCCACCGAGGGCCTCGGAGCCTACCCTAAGTTAAATAAAAATAAAAACAGTGATACAGGATGTTGCTTTCGAAGGCTGGCAGTATGTATGTATGTTGTACTTTCCCGAATAGCGGACGGAAGAGACTTCCACAGCATAACAGCACGGACAGTATAAAAGTTGGCATAGCGTCAGGAAGTGTGTGCTTTAAAAGAGTGGCCTTGGTAGACCTGGCTGGTTGGTTTTCAGGCACGGGGAAATTGAAACGTTCACAAAGATATCTAGGTGAGTTGGGGCAGCATCGAATAGAGAAAAAGGTAGAAAGGATGTGACGGTCTCTTCGTAACCGTATAGGCAGCCACTTAAGTTGTTTGCGGTACTCCGAGACATGATCGTATTTCCGAAGGCTATAAATAAAACGAATACACGTATTTTGGAGTCTTTCTAATTTATCAAGGAGGTCTTCATTTGCATCTAGAAAAACAACAACAGCATAGTCAAGCAGGGGGAGAAGAAGTGTCTGCGCTAAAATTATTTTAGTTTGAAGTGGGAGAAACTTTTGGAGGCGTTGTATCTACAGAATGGCTCGACAGATGTCCATTATATTTTGCATTGTCTGAGAGAACACATAGGGTCAAGACTGATTATGTTTTGGTTAATTATCTGCGGACAGTATCGCGTACGACGGCTAATGTTATTATAAATATAAATAAAAAGTAATTGTAGATTAGACTTATTATTAATTAATAAGGAAGACTTACGGGCTATATGATAGCATTGCGACAAAGCCCCTTAGTAAATTAAAAAGTGAATAAACAACTGCTGAACAATTTTTATTTCATAATATTAAATTTTGTACAAACAATACAAGATCCGATATTTGATGTTTCGGTGCCCACAGCCTCCTCCGCGTTACAGCGGGCCATTATTCGCTCTCCTATTACAGAATAGATGCAATCAGTAAGGGATAAGGAATCGCGTAAAGCAAACTTTTAAGTTTGGTGCTGTACCTACTCCTCGGCCATTCTAAAGTCAAATAACTGGCACTGCCCACTTGCTGCCTACTGCCATAAGATCTTTGTTGGACTATAAGAATATTAGAAATGGTCATGTCGCTGCTTGAATATGACCTTTTTTTGCTGAATTCCGATTTAAACACGCCTTTCGATATAACATGACAGGTAATTCTATGAATATTATTAGTTCTAACCAACAACATCGCTATCATATCCATATATTTGACAAGGTCAGTTCTAACAGGTTCTACCGAATTTAAAAAATTTGCCTTGGTAACACTGACATGTTGTCACTCACTTGACAGGTGACGGTTGTCAGTTGTCATTTTGTAAGTCATTAGACATTATTTTTATTTTTACTGTAGATTTTGTACAATCTGTGTGTCTTTCCCCTCACCATCGCCCGTCAAAGTAATATTAACTTTCTATTCAGCAAGGAAACTGCGGGCGGATTGCGGATGAAAACTTGTTTTATTTCAGTAAAGAATGTTTAACTACGTCTGTTAACTCAGTGCCTTATCTACTTTGCAAGTCAGTCTTATAAAAGTGGCTAATTTCTTTTTCATGTCAAATTTGCTTTTAAATGTGCATCCTTGAATAGGTTTGTGAGTATTAGTATTTTTGTTTTTATCTTTCGTTTGTAAATTTCCATTATTCATTGCATAAATGTGGTTGCATAATTGGTTGAAAATTTTAAATAAAAAAGTCTTCTTATTTACTTTTTTCCAAGAATTGTTTACAAATGGCTAACTCACATACAAAAGTTGTGGGCGTTACTTTTTTAGGGTTATGTTTACTACAATATTTGTAGCTTTATTATGTTTTGGTACAACCTAATTTCTGATTATTATTATAAAGTTTTTTTAACTTTCTAATTAGTTCATACAAATAAAATTCTTTAAATGGTACACTTGTATTAAATGAGAGCAACATCCAGTATAATAGTAACAGTAAATTGTGATCATACTTGTTGCGTCTTATTCATATACCTTAAAACACACTCAAACACTTACAATGTAACTCCTACCCTCACATGATTTAATGTTTTGCATGATCTTGATTAACCCCTATGGTGGTGTGTGGTGCTTTATGTTTAGTCTAAAAGAAAGTTTGTTTATGATGGCTTGAAATAATGATGAGCATTACAAACATCTATTTGTGGCCCCACCTGTATGCCACAAGTTTTTGCACAAAAAATATTAAAACTGTGTAAATTTTGATCACCCATTTATTTCTTCAGTACAAAACTAAAGGGGTCATTAGATAAATCCAAACTATAAAATCTAACCACATGATATAATTCAAAGATTACTTTATCTATGTGATCTGCTGATATACAGTAAGAATATTTACTCATTATATCTGTCATTTGGTTAGGTTAGGTAGGTTATGCGGGTCATGAGAGATTTGGAGGCCTAGCCTTGTTTTTAAACTAGCTGTCGCCCGTGACTCCTTCCGCGCGGATTGTAATGTTATATAGCCTAAAGCCCTTCTCTATGAATAGACTATCCAACAAAAAAACAATTTTTCAATGCGGACCAGTAGGTCCTGAGTGTAGCCCATTTAAACAAACAAACTCTTCCGTTTTATAATATTAGTATAGATGAGTTCCTTGTATACACAGATCTATGAATAAAATGTTTGCCTTAAAATTATGTTATTGTCGTGTTTTATTTAGGAGTGAGAGAGTCCTGAGTGTGTTTATCTGCGACTGAAAGTGATAGCATAGTAAAGCAAAAGTTAAAGCTACATTAATTTTGTTTATATTTTATTCTAAAATTAAAATAAACAAATTTTAACTTGGCTATTTGCAGCACATCTAATGGTGTTAAATACTTTCACAAACAATTGAAATAACACAAGATACCATAGAAATGTCTGTACGTAATATCGAAAAAATTCTATTTCCAATACATTATTTGTGTTCTAAAGACGAAAAAAAATCTTTTAAAATTTTTGTCTGTGTATCTGTCTGTGTTTCGGGTAATCTCCGGAACGGCTGGACCGATTTTGACGGGATGATAGCTGATGCACGGAGGAATAAATAGGCAAGTTTGTTATAATTTTAATTCTGCGCTGAGGAAATCGCGACCGAGTACTAGTTTATGTATATACATACAAATAATAAAGATCTTGTCATTGAAAGAATTAAGCTATGATTAATTAAGTAATATACTAAGATATATATCGTTCAAAACGTTACTTACTTTTGCTGTGCCCGACTATGTCACCATGCCAGAAATGCCTAACATTCAGTGTAAATAACTTCACATGCAATATCGTAAGGACCCAAGCCACGAGGTGCGCGCTGCGAGCTCCGAGCGATGAGCTCGCTCGCTGTTGCTGCATTATGTATTGAATGAATCGCAATTGGCAAGTGGCGATGCCGATGCCTTATTGCCTTAGTGACGGATAGAACTCACAGCTCGGCGGTCGCGTGCCTCCGACCCTCTCCCCGCACCGGTACACTGCATGCATTGTATTTTACCACATCTGTTACATTATTTGAAAGTATATTTCAAAATTATAAACTAAACATATCAGTTTTAATTGACATATTTTATATTTATAGTATGTGTAATTAATATCTTATATTATAATAGATAATAGATGCTACCCTAATAGCTATAATATATACAAAATGCAATTTGATCGGGACAAAGCTTTGTTACGGCTTCAGCGCTGTTATGTTAACTTTGCGATTGTTACAGACAAGACAACATGGAGCGTTTCCCGCTGAAATCTTCAGCGAGCAACATGCCCACAACCTACCAGTCTCTTTACAAAAAGGTAAAATAATTATATACATATAAGCATGCAAATTCAAATAACTTTACACAATATAACAAAAAGATGTATGATTGTTTTTTAAAGTAATTTTTAAAATTGTTGTATAAAGTGAAAATCATCTGTCACTTTATTTCTCAAGATCTTGTACACGTACCCGAACTTGAGCTAGACTAGCCACTTAGTGATTGTATCACTAACTAGGTGATGCTCGCGACTTCCTCAGCGTAGATAAAAAAAAACCCAACCCAAGTTATTCCCGGCTCACATATGCTACCTTCCAGTAAAAGTCTTGTCAAAATCGAGCTCTCCGTTCGGAGGATTGCCGGGAGCAAACAACAGACTGATTAAAATCGGTTTTTCATGATTAGCAGCTTCGAAAATACATCATGTTTGCGAATATGATAATTATTAACAACTTATGAATATAAAAGAAATGTGTCTCGTGAACGTGTCAATGTGCTTGTGGACAATGTTAAGTCGAGCGATGTAAGCTTAATACCACCCCTCCTCCCCCTACTACCCCCTACCCGCCTAACCCCTGCATTACACGGGGTTATAATCTTTCTAGATTGCTGCCAGCCCTCTTTCCGCCCTCTGTATGTCATTAGCTAGCGAATGCCATCAATTTTAAATTTTAAATCACTACTGCGTGCAAGACAATCTTGAGGAGTATCGACAAAGTGTGAAAAAATATTTATTTCAAAAAATATATTATAAAAGCTCCCAAAAGATATAATTAGTTAATTTTAACTTTGAGTTAATTAAATTCGCAAAATGTTATATTTTTAAAACGTAAACAATGACAAATAATGCACATATAAAAAATAACACAAGATTTAACATCAATATAATATGCTTTAATTTCGCGAACGAAACAAATTTATTACTTAGCATAACAACAACAACTCACCTTTGTTTAAATAATTATATTCGGGCTGTCTGTCGCCTCTCTGTCGACTGCACTTGCCGCCGCTATCTGGGTACGCACAATCTTATGATTACTAAATATTTGGATACAGCGGTTGTTACAAGATTAGTGTATTGCCCAGAGGCGATAAATCAACAAACATATAGGTAGAAGTACATTCGTCTTGCGTCTCTCTCACCAGGTGATGCGACCAAAACGTAACTCTTCGTCTACCAGTCTAGGGACTCGCTACACTCCTAATTTATTCCACTTATTTTTTCTAAAAGATCGGTTAGGGTTGAATGTCTATTTGTCGATGTTTTGTCAACTATCCTATTTAAAGACAATGTCTTGTCGCTGCCCTAAGGTGTTGAGAGATGTAATGTTTTAGTTTTGTCGTCGACTGAAAGCTATCAACTAAATCATATGTTAAATAGCAGATAGTAGTTCATCGGAGAGCGACTCATCAGTTCCTGTCCTGTTTGGAACGATTCCTGCCGCCGAGTTCCGTCATCGGACGTCGCGAATGACCGCCAGGTTCCATCCACACCACCTGGATGGCTGGCGTTCCACAACGGTATTTCCAAACCAATACGACTTAGGGACCTTCAAGAAGCGAGCATACCATTTTCTTAAAGGCCGGCAACTAATCTGCAGTTTCTCCGGTGTTGCAGATGTCCATGGGTGTCATTGATCACCTTGGTGTTCCCGCCGGTCGTTTGTCCTCTTCTCTTATAAAATTATATTCCATTTGTTACAACTGAAGAGAGCAATGATCTTTATACTCATCCCTACTCTAATACCGATATTGATTTCTGATATGTTTTGAGAGACAGCATTCTAAACTTTACTTATATCATGTGGGTTGGTAAAAAATACGGAATGTAAAAGCGTGAATATTTTGAAACAAGCTATGCGTTGCGATATTTCGCTGCATCGCTGCGTCGAGTGGGTGCATCATTATTGTGTAGAGCGTCTGTGTGAGGACCCGAAGCCCATAGCCCAGATTTTCTGATTTTAGAACCCCGCGGTACATGCCTGATATGTACTTTTTTATGTGAGCGTCGCGCTTACCCGCCTCCGTTTCAACGGAGAACTCATGCTGTGTGTGTAACCTCTTGTGACAAACATTTTCGCCATGACTACTATGAGGGACGTATGTACGTCCACCGGTCAGCGCAATTAGTATGTATGCCATATGTCTGGCACTAACTTCACGCGGTCTACAATTAAACATAACATTTTGAATTTATTAACACAAATTAATTTGATTCAAATTACAGTTATAGTTATAGTTAAGAAAACAATGAACAAGTGCGAAGTCGTGAGCAACAGCTAGTTTATATATTTTGAAGTGCCAATCTTATTTATTTCATTTTCATATTATATTTAAAAATGCTGTTATCATGTTATATCGTTGTTTAATAAAGTTAGGTTTAGACACGAGCTGGCAGCGTTAGATTCCCTGTTCCATGTCCATTCCAGAAGAAACCGTTAAATCGGTACGTGAGATAGGATGATCAAATGACACTATCGCCGACCGACGGCGAGGCGCAGAGCGTTGTGCTGACCGAGTCCATTGTTGACATTGTGTAGCTCCGGGCCGTTGGAGACCGCGTCCGCCGCACACGTCCCAGACTAGGATTGCGAACTATGATACAAATGAAATGCATGTGAATTGCATAGATTGAGGTCAGACGAGGAGCGGCTGTGTGTAAGTGCGAATACTTACAGGTCGGCATTCGGCGGTTCCTGTGCACTAGTGTCACATCCGCTCACTACTAGATTAATATTAATCTCAATTGGCCGGCACGCACACACCTCAATATACTTTGATATTTTTTAATGATATTTCAGACACAGAAATATAACTTAGTCAATGTTTATCATGTCGAACCCAATATAACGACCCCAAAGGATATAGAAATATAATATATTGTTCAAATTTGTGTTTGTCTGTCCCGATTAGAGACAAATGACATTAAAAACTGCCTCACCAGTAAAATAGCTGCGATCAGATTAATCATTTAAAAATGTACATATTTGCATTGCGTTAAGAAAATAACCTTAAATTGATTCGTGGACAAGTGTAGCGCTTGTCGCTCGTGAATTGAGTGATTTATCAAATTCGATGCACTTTTCCAATTGACCGATCTGAAGAGAAGAGATGTATACAACAAGTACATGTACATGTCACTCGGCCTGCTCTATGTAATTCAATAGTTCAATTGTCCAATACACATATGTAGCAATAGCAATGTAGTATTATATATATATATATATATATATATATATATTGTCTTTGTGTTCCCAAATAATAAATAACATACTTCTAATTGATCTTTGGTTAGTTCTGAATTTGACAAAAACTGAATGTGTAATTTTTTTCTATCCTTTTTCTTTACATCTGTCCGTGTCCTCTAGGTGTTAGTGTTGGTGTTAGTTTTGTATAATAGTTGATTGAATATATTCTCCGATATCTTATATATTGCACTCTGAATAACACATTTATATTATTACCAAGTGAACTGAAATCACTATCAATATCAACACGTTTTGTAAAGGTCGACCAATATACTTAATGTAAATAATGTTCATACATATTATACACATAAAACACCTAATTATTATTTTGATATATAGCAATTTCGGTGTTTATATTTTAAGTGACGTAATGAAGTGAACTTGTACTATGTCCGTAATAGGATTGAAGGTGCGACGCGACGCGGCTGCGGGAAGCACCGCAACACGCCCGCTAGTAGCTCACCACTGCGACTTATATATAATAATAATAAAATAATGCTAACGCAATTGATTTGCAACAAGTTGTTCGTGATTATATTTTTCTTAGGACATTATACCAAAGAGAATAAGCATCAGTTAAATGGACAATGTTAAAGCCAGTTTAATAATAAGCGTACGCGTTGACAGGGTAGAAAGAATACGAACGGTCGCGGTATTTTAGCTGTGGGCGAGGAGGACCTCGTGGACATAACGGCGGGCCTGCAACAAGCCGCCGCAGCCCGGACCGCGCCCCTGGCCGCCACCCCCACCAGCCACGGCACCTTTCAGCTGTACGAAAACTCCGCGAGACCCTCCGACGCGATCAACAACTGTGAGTTATTGTGTTTTCATTACTTATCAATTACATTCATTTGGAACAGTATTTACGTTAATTCAATCAATAATATCGCAAAAATACTCAACGCTACGTATCGCGAAGGAGTTTTCCCATTCAAGCAAGCATTAAACTAACGAGTACCTATAAACTTGCTAATATCAATTAATTGTATCTGTGTATTATAATACAGAGTAAGATGTGTATTTTGTTTACATTTGTTTATAGTGAAATTGATGTACATAGTTATTTCTTGTTTATTTTCAAGCATACTTTGCTCAGTTCCTCAATTCGTCCACCGGTAAGGGCGCTCTGTTCTATTATATAGTGTCGATGGATGCCCTATGCCCCGTGCCCCATGCTGCTTGCCTTGCAGTCGCGTCTCGCTTACTATGTCGCCTGGCCACAACTTATAGCGGTTTTCCTTCTAATTTATACTGTATGTAACTAACAATAAGTTCAATATAAAAGCAAAACAATGATCACATAAGTTATCGTGGCAAATCTTACACATCCATGACACATAATTAATCTGCTGCTGCTGATAATCATTGATCTTGGCATATTTTATTACTGACAAGTGCAAAGCGAAACAGTTCCTCCGCTTACCTAATCCCCGTCCACGTCCAAACATTATGTAGCCATGACTATTTCCTACGTCCAGCGCGTCTCTTGCCCATCCATCATCAGCTGAAGTAACTTATACTTATATATTGCATACATGCTAAAGTTTTTCAATGAAATGTGTGACGAGAGCCATATCTATTATGTCCTTATCGTCTCTATATCGATTAGATATAATATATCCTATGTTATAGAAATGTCAGTATACTTATGAAATGACAAAGTGGCAATAGTTTTGATAATGGAAACGCAATAATGGATCCCGAAGAAACAGAACCCCTGGTCGGTGAAGGTAAAATCCAATGTAATTTTATTATTGCAGCTGACGCGTGTCTTTTGATTTTTTTTTATCATAATTCAAAAGATGTACAATATACTTAGTTTCCATAAAAAAAGTATTTTTTGTTTTTATACTTTCGCGATCTACAAGCCCAAAAATTGTTTTTTCCGTTTTTTCATGAAATTGATAAGTTTTATCAAAAAAATTGAGACCGAGAGGGAATGGAGTTTATAGTATAGTTAGTACTTAGAAGATTTTTTATAGAAATCTCATATTTTTTTTAAGTGCCACTATTACGGTTCAAACAATTGAGAAAGTCATGTTGTCTCTGAATTCGTCCACGTGAAAGATAATTTTAGAGAAACCCCGAAAGAATTAATTTGATACAAGGGCTGCTTTTTGGCCTTCTCCATAAAGTTAATTAAACTACCGTGATAATTTTAATACAAATAAAAAAACTCTTTGTGGTAGCTGTATATAATAACATCAGTGAGTGACATGAGTTTGCGCATGGCAACATTGCACATTAACTTTGACAGTTAACGCCCGACACGGCTTGTCTTCTTTTGCTTACATCGCCATGTATACTCTATATTTTATTCTTATTATTGACTTTATTTGTATTTAACATCTCACTTGCTTTAAAGAAATGAATATTTTCTTATAGTAAAGTCCAGAAATAGTGCGTAAAAATATAACGTTTTAACCGTTACCGTCGTGTGTGAAGACTGCTTTGACAACGGCAACGTATGAGTTAAACTCGCAAATTGATTGTTCTGTTTTGTTACAGGGGACCCAGTTATATTCTCCGGAATGCAAGGTACGTTACTAAAATTATTTACTTTCCCGAGGCATACTCATGAACTTGTTGATATAAGTAAATGTAAAGACGAGTTATCACAACGCCACAGCGCTATCGATTTTCATCGGTCATAATTTTTAAATCGGTTTCAAAATGTTCTAACGTGATGTAGCTATTTGTCACTTGTAATGTTTCTATATCGAACTAGTTTTTACTGTCGCCTCGTCGCTAATGCTTGAGTATTGTTGAAAGAAAATCCATTGTTACAGTGTCACGTGATGTTAGATTTAACTGTTATTTCTCTTGCTCACAGTATTGCCCTTGCCATGTTTCATCATCATCATCATACTCAGCTTAAACTTGTCCACTGCTGGATGTAGGCCTCCCCCATCAATTGCCACAATGCCCGGTCCTGTTATGCCATGTTGCCATGTATACAAAACATTTAATATAAAAATTAGACAGATTAGCGCGGCCCAACTTTAGAAATAATTGTAAGAATGTTCATAAGATCTTACTGCAATTGCAGACAACAGCCAGCATTGCAGAAAATGTATCTATAAAGTTCATATTGTGCAGTCATTTTTTATGCTGTTTAAGTTTGTTAATATATATGTATATTTTCAGCAGTAAATGTCAATTCTAAAATCATTCTAATAATTGTGTAATTGCTTATATTCTGTTAATTATTACATACATTTTGAGTGCAGGAGACACTGATGATATCCCCGGTATTGGGCAATATGATGACTTCCACACCATTGATTGGCAGCGAGATATTGCCAGAGATCGGATGAGGCATAGATATATTGTTAAAAAGAGACAGGACTCAATATGGGATCTGATAAAGGTAAGTCACACTATCTCATGTTGTTTTTTATTTAAATTATGTAATAGTTCATATAAGAGAGTGGTATGTTAGATAAAGATGTTAACAATTTGTAGGGTGCCCACGATGCATGGTCGGGCTGGGTGTGTGTGCTGCTGGTGGGGGTGTGCACAGGGGTGGTGGCCGGAGTTATAGACATAGGCGCCTCCTGGATGACAGACTTGAAGTTTGGCATTTGCCCTCAAGCATTTTGGTTCAACAGAGAGCAGTGCTGTTGGTCCAGCGACGAGATGACCTTTGATCAGGGCAATTGCTCACAGGTGAGCCGTTTTGGTTGAACACTTTGTTTTCATTTTGGAATATGTTTTGGATGTAGTTTTGCAATGAATGTGATGCGGTTGCAGTGGCTGACGTGGCCGCAAGTGTTCGGGGAATCGCGCGAGGGCGCTGGCGCGTACATCATCGGCTACCTGTTCTACATCATCTGGGCGCTCGTGTTCGCCGCGCTCTCCGCCTCCCTGGTGCGCATGTTCGCGCCCTACGCCTGCGGCTCCGGTGAGTCCCCGCTCTCGTGGGTGCGCGCTCGAATGATCTCGCACTTTCGTTTCTTATTCAATACATATTTAGTGAAGTTTAAATATATTCATATATATGTGATCACCTATCGCAGGAATACCAGAAATAAAAACGATCCTCAGCGGTTTCATCATCCGCGGCTACCTGGGGAAGTGGACCCTCATAATCAAAGTTGTTGGATTAATTTTGTCCGTATCCTCCGGCTTGTCGCTGGGAAAGGAAGGGCCCATGGTGCACATCGCCAGTTGTCTAGGTGGGTTCAGGCTCGGTTACAAAAAAGTAAGAGATGTTCGTTCGCTCCCGGCGCCAGGGCGTATCTAATCGTGCGAATTTATTTCTTTCAGGCAACATCCTGTCGTATCTGTTCCCTAAGTATGGGCGCAACGAGGCCAAGAAGCGAGAGATCCTGTCGGCGGCGGCGGCGGCGGGCGTGTCGGTAGCTTTCGGCGCGCCTATCGGCGGCGTGCTCTTCAGTCTGGAAGAGGTAGCTTCTCCGCCTTAGCCTGATCGCTCCCGGCGTCACAACGGTAGTGCTGATCCATCTCTGCTCTCTGGCAGGTGTCATATTACTTTCCTCTGAAGACGCTGTGGCGGTCGTTCTTCTGCGCCTTAATAGCGGCGTTCATTCTGCGCTCCATCAATCCGTTCGGGAACGAGCACTCGGTGCTGTTCTTCGTCGAATACAACAAGCCGTGGATATTCTTCGAGCTCATACCTTTCGTTGGACTTGGAATCATCGGGGTAATCGTATCTTTTTTCTAATCTATTATATTGATATTTAGAATAGTACATAGTTATAATGATACCTGATTGTAGGGTTGCATCGCGACGATATTCATTAAAGCGAATATCTATTGGTGCCGGTACCGCAAGCACTCGAAGCTGGGCCAGTACCCGGTGACGGAGGTGCTGGTGGTGACGCTGGTGACGGCGGTGGTCGCCTATCCCAACCCTTACACCCGCATGAACACCAGCCAGCTCATATACTTGCTGTTCAATCAGTGCGGAATATCCAATTCCGATCCCCTGTGGTGAGCGATCCTTTTATAATCTGTGGTGGTGACTGTAGTACGAGTGCGGGATACTTGATGGTGAGCGGCGATTGATGCCGTGTGTTTCAGCGACTATAACCGCAACTTTACTGACGTGAACTCGGCCATCGAAAAGGCGGCGGCGGGTCCGGGCGTCCACCGCGCCATCTGGCTGCTCATGCTGGCGCTGGTGATGAAGCTCGTGATGACGGTGTTCACGTTCGGCATTAAGGTGCCCTGCGGCCTGTTCATCCCGAGCCTCGCGCTCGGCGCCATTGCCGGCCGCATTGTCGGCATAGGTACCTCTGCCGCACGCATACATATATACGTTCGTATATAATCGTTGGTTCTTTTCATTTGATCTCGGACGTTTCTGTGCAGGCGTGGAGCAGCTCGCTTATAACTATCCAAAGATCTGGCTGTTCTCCGGGGAGTGCTCGACGGGCGACGACTGCATAACACCGGGCCTGTATGCCATGGTGGGCGCGGCGGCGGTGCTCGGTGGTGTAACCCGCATGACCGGTACGCGCCAAGCATTTCCTATGTAATCCACTGTACGGAGAGCTCTCGAATGTGCGAGTGATATCGTGCGCGTGTGCTTGTGCAGTGTCGCTGGTGGTGATAATGTTCGAGCTGACGGGCGGGGTGAGGTACATCGTGCCGCTGATGGCCGCCGCTATGGCCTCCAAGTGGGTGGGTGACGCGCTCGGCCGCCAGGGTATTTACGACGCCCACATCGCGCTCAACGGCTACCCCTTCCTGGATAGCAAGGACGAGTTCCAGCACACCTCGCTCGCTGCGGACGTCATGCAACCCAAGTGAGTCCTCGTAGCTGGCACATCCGACACGCCCGACACGCTTTTTGATATTACACCGATCGTTGCGGACAACGCTGTCGCCGTTTCTCCATCATTAAAAAAGCGGAATAAGCCTCCATGCCACTTCCCGTTATATCGGCGACCTTTCATCAAAAGTCTTGCCTCGGTCGCTCAAAGATATGGTGCAAGAAACAGAAATAATTTGTTCAGTTATTGCATACATGGTGGAGCGAGATATGAGAAGGTGTCGCGTCTAAGTGTTGCGGCGATATTACACTGACATTGTATCGAGTGAATGTTTGCGCCGGCCACGCTCAACACCTGTGACTTCTCAAAAGGGTGCGATTTCCTACCAAATATGCACAGCTTTAAGCAAACTTTGCAATTCACATCCCTTTTTAAAAGTACTTAATGACAACTATGATATCTATAACTTTTTTTGTACATCTTACTAATGTTGTAAATGTATGGATGGATGTTAGATTGTATCTCGAGAACGGCTGCATGGGTCTCGCTGAAATTTGCCATAAATGTAGAACATAGTTTGGAAAAACTCATAGGCTTCTTATAAACTGTATTTTTTTATACCGCGCAGACGGTGTCACGTGCGAAAACTAGTTACAGAATAAAAGTTACAGTGTGGTAATGAAAAATAATAAACCGTCAAAGAAAAAAGGCATTGAAAAGATTTGTTTTAGATGAAACGCTACAAGTATATTTCATATTATGTAGCAGTGTTTTTCTAATACTTGGCGAGTCGTGATGAGCAGCTCTTGCTGCGCAGTAACCTCGCATTGTGTTCTGCGCAGCGACTCGCAAGAAATGAAGAGCCGTCAATAGCTTTGCGATCGAGTTATCTTGTTCTCTCTAAACATACAATACTATATGTTTTTATGTAATGAAGTTGTATGTAAAGGATGTTTTTGAACACTTGTACTCAATACGTGCAATATTTGTATGTATAATAATTATGTAAACGCTGATGCTATCATTGTGTTTGTATAATATAAATAAATAACTATGTACTTATTTGTATTGATTTAAATATAATTTATTGTTTTGTGGACAAGAGCATATGATATTGTTTGTTTGTTTGTTCACTTGTCTGTAGACGTAACGAGACGCTGGCGGTCATAACGCAGGACTCGATGACTGTGGACGACGTGGAAAGCCTGCTCAAGGAGACGGAGCACAATGGCTACCCAGTGGTGGTGTCCAAGGAGTCGCAGTACCTGGTCGGCTTCGTGCTGCGCAGGGACCTCAACTTGGCCATCGGTCATTAGTCTACTATTAATTTCCCTAGCGTTTTGATGCAATCTTTTTTCTGATTAATTAATAACATTAAGCCTGTGGTTCCCAAACTTATTTTGTCTACTGCCCACTTTAAGAATAAATATTTTTTAGCGCTCTAAATTTTCACATAAGTAAAAATCACTATAACTTGAAATTAATTATTGTGACCTATATATGTATATTAACGGAGAATTCTAAAGGAAATTTTTACTATAACCCGCAATTGAGACCTGCAGCGCCCACAAGGGGGCGTTATCGCACACTTAGGGAAAGACTGCATTAAGCCAACATCAACTTTGAATGTTATGTTGACTATGTTTACATCGCAGTGTTTACTGGAAAATGATAAAAGTATAACAAAAAATATAATGCTCTTAACAGTTTAATTTTCAAGTTTTGTAAAAACATTTTGTACAAATGTTGAATATAATCTGCAGCGAACGCGCGGCGCACCATAGAGGGCATCACGGGCCAGTCGGTGGTGATGTTCGCCGGGGGAGCGGCGGCGTTGACCGGTGCGGGGGCGGGGGCGGGAGCGCTCGCTGCTCCCCCCGCGCTGCCCCTCAACCGCATCCTCGACATGGCGCCCATCACAGTGACCGACCAGACGCCAATGGAGACGGTCGTGGATATGTTCCGCAAGCTCGGCCTCCGGCAGACGCTCGTCACGCACAATGGGTGCGTTACCCTGCCTTACATAACATAACACTTTGGCCACACTGCTTGTTGCACGCACACGCGTCTTGCGTTACAACGAACATTTTATTTTATAATTTTTAACATGTTAACATTGATCCCGGGGTTTATACGTTAGTAATTATGTATATTTGCGTAATTGGGGAGAAATAATGATGAAAACTGTCGTTTCCAGACGTCTACTGGGCGTGATCACCAAAAAGGATGTGTTGCGGCATGTCAAGCAAATGGATAATGAAGATCCCAATTCTGTTCTATTCAATTAGTTTTAAGTAAAATATAATTTTATAATTAGCGCGAATATAGAGCGGAGTGTACAAGGAGTAAGTGTTATATAAAATCACAGAGCTCCATGTATTATATGTATGTATGTTTGTATGTAAAGACATATTATATGAAACATCGCCTTTATAAATATGTAGCCGTAACAACATTATCCACCAAGCTGACGGAGTCACACACACACACACACACGCACCGAGTCACATACATATTTATAACAAATTTATATGACACTGACACGTGTATATCATGCGATGGATCCATCCTATTGGATGGTAGGCGATGTCCGCTCTGATGCTGTGATGTGATGTGCTGTGCTGAGGCGAACGGTCATGGCATCATGTCATCAATATTGTCTATCTGATCTGCAATCTGAACACCAACAAGGAAATTATCATGTAAATGTTCATTTTGTCTATATTTCATTCAGTACATTCATTTCATATATTTATATTTTTGTAAGTGTGATTTTCTATACAAACGATCTGTTTTATTTTTTGTGTTATCCTCATGTAATTTACTATTGCATATATATTTATTGAATGGTTCAATATATATATATAAAATATATAATGATGTGTATATATATATATAGAAATGTTAGAAAGCTTGTTGTAATGTAATATTGGTAGACGATGTACTGACATGTCAGTCTCGGAAACAATTATCATATACATTGTTACATTGTATGATCTATTACTCCACACTAGTTGATAATTAAAATACCATAATTAATAGCTAATATCCCATTCGACTAACCGCAATTTACATTTAAAAAATAATAGCCATCAAATCGCGGCCGGCTTGTTTGTGTACATGCATTATCGACAAACAGGCACACACACACACACACAACACTGCAGCAGCAGCAGGAGGGGGAGGAGGAGGGAGTCATCAAGCCGGAGCAGCTTGACAATGAATCGTTCATCACATAGTCAATAAGATATTACGATCTAGTTTATATATTCTTGTGTTGTTTTCATTTTTATATCCTGATTTGTTTATTAAGTTATTATTATTGTTTTTCGAGCGATATTAAAGTTATTACATGTTATAATGATTTTTGTATGATGAGTTTTATATAACGTGTTTGTAAAACAAAGCAGCTGTAAAATGTAACATTGCATGCATCGACGTCATCATGCAAACACACAACGAATGACGCACGCGAAGGTGAAACATGCCACATTCAGTTTTTTAAACACATTTACTGTCACATCCTCAATAAAATTCATTATTAAAATAACTGAATGTTGCCTGTTTTGTATGTCTTATGTCAATAATAATTATTTCTTAACGAGTGGCAGCACATCAAGTTAAATTAAATCTATTGTATCGCTTTCATTTATAATCAATGTCCATGCACTGTCGCCGTCGTCTCGCTGCCTGAGGAGTCTCCTGTGAACTTATACGATTCAATAAAGTTTTTATAATGCACATTATGTGGATATTTATTGAATATTCATTTAATTAAATGAGAAATTGCAACACAAACTGTTCGCATAAAGATCCAGTGGAAAGTGTCCGCTACCACACTCTAATTAAGTACATTATATAAATATGGTACAGTTTGTGCGCTTACATTTTTTAAGGAATTCAAAAATAAACATTACCAGATGTTTATATACGTATATAGCCATTTACAGCCTTTCCAGATTCTGTTCTACATCTATGCCAAACATCGAGATTTAGTCGTTCTGGAGATACCTTCGAACAAAAATTCGCTTTTATAATATTGGTAACAAGTACGACTGGCCGGTTACTGTCCGGTCCGTACCCATGGCGGAGATTCCTGCAGCCGGCCGCATACGTCGCCTGCAGGAATCTCTGCTCTCGACCGCATCTTTACGGACATTTTGCTAAAAGAAGTGCAAAATATACGGTCAATACAATTATACATATTTAATGTATATAACAAAATAACTGATCAATTATCTTCTAAACACACCAAGTAATGAGAAAACGAGAGCGTTATTAAAAAAACCGTAATACACTCATATGACAGCTGTACGGTTTGTTGCATAGGATGTTTTTAAGGAATCGCGAGAGAACGCTGACAACACCACGACTACACAAGTATCGCGCCAGCAGCAGACAATCGCGTTGCGGTCGCTACCAACCGCTGACCACATCGTGAAAATGGTGATGCTCTACATATAAATGTGCATTAGACGAATGGGATAGCGCCGCATCCGTTGCGACTCAAAACCGTTCTTCCTCAGCGTTACAGATAACGAAAG